AGGCCAAACAAAAACCTAGAGCCGACGCTCTACAACCAGGCCACGCCACACAAGGCCAACCGAAACACGGCAGCCGAAGCTCCAACAAAATAATAACATGCGCACAGCCGCACCAAATAAATCTACAACAAAAACAATGGAGAACAACAAAACGAATAGAAGAGCAACAGACCGACAACAACCAAACTGAAACAACACAGCAACGAACTGAACAGAGAGAGAACAACACAGCGAGCAAGACAACAAGACGAACAACAAGGACGACACACAGTCGGTGACGCCAGACTCGTCCACTGTCCTCTGGCGAGCCACGGCCACACGCTCCGTCGCGGTTCCTGCCGTCTCAGGCTCCAGTCCACAGTGACTGTTCTAGTCCATCACCTTCTCTGCCTCCTCTCCGCGTCGTCTTCCGCTCCCACCAGCTCTTCACCTCCTCCGCTCCCACACTCTGTTTACTTCAAAGTAACAGTCACTTCGTTGTTGACGACGATGACGAACAGACTCGCTACAAACTAACTCATCCTCTGCGTCCCGGGTTTTGGCACCATGTTGTAACGGAATCTCAGCCATTCCGTTCCCCGGGACGCAGGACACAAAGGACAAGACTGGTTTGTTACATTATGTTATATTTACAAGACGGAGAAGCAAACTGCTCTGACAGAGACGAACAAGAAGACTGACAAAAGGACTCTCGACTACAACATCGCGCATGCTCATATCACACATGCACGCGACTAGACGAGACAGTTTGGGGAATGCGATCACACAGGAAAACAACACATCATTTCACAACAAGCATTACTCGGGTCTCTCTCTCTCTCTCTCTCTCTCTCTCTTTCTCCCCCTATCACACCTACACACACATATACACACAAACACCAACAGAACACGCAAAACAGACACACACACACACACTTGTACTTGTACTTGCTCACTGCCAAAACTGGTCACGTGGGTCTCCCCGAGAGAGAGGAGAGACACTCAAAAGGAACCTTGGAAAGATGACTCAATTGGCCATTGAACCACCCAACGGCCGACATCCCCTGAAATCCCCAAACTAGGGTGGACTTGAAATGATCCCACTTATGGGCTCACCACACCTCAGTAAGTGGGTGAGGACAAGGTGCAGAAAAAGGATTGACGGCATCAGGGTATCCGTCCCGGGATCCAACTGCAGGTACCCCTGCCCCCAGTGAAGGTAATACTTGCTACTAGTGTGGGTGGCTAAATCAGAGTGGATCTGATAAAAGCTTCACTAGCACCATTGATTACACAAGAGTTAATCTAGCCCGAAGCAGTCCATGGTTAACAGGTATATATACTTCAAATAGAAAGTATATGAACCCTGAAACCAACAAAGGTGGTAAGTACAACAATACACCTTCAAGCAGCCGAGCCCATTGGCAACAGGCCCAACACTATCTGGCATAAGTGTACCCACCAACCGAACTAGCTGGCACACACACACACACACACACACACACATACACATACACACACACACACACACCTTGACCTTGATACACGTTGCCTTGATAGGTTACACGGTCCCCGTCAGGGGAGAGGGGTGGAAGAGGCTGAGGAGCAGCACTTTTGATGGCGCACAAGATGGTGACGTAGTCGGAACTTCCTTTGGCAAGGGCACTCAAACGGGAAATCGGCCCTTTCCGACACTGTCCTACGTTTCGTGCGGTCGCACTTGTGTCTGGCCAAGCCGCTGCTGGACTTGAAACTCTGGTGGCAGGTGCTGCACTGCGGAGTGACCGGGTTGCCGGGGTGCTCGATGTTGGGAGCAGGTCCGTGATCGCACCGATGGGTAGCCAATCCACCGGGGCTGCGGAACCAACGTTGGCAGAGATGACATTGGCAAGCGCCAGCCTGATTGCACACTGGTTTCTGCCGTTCTGCCAAGCATTTGTGACGCTTCTCATCTGATGGGCGAGAGAAGTACCGATCACATACTTGGCAATGGACACTGGGTGTGGGCGGTTCGGGCTCGAAACAGCGGCACATGCGGCGCCAGTCGGGGCGAGAATCTGCCAGATCGTACCATCCCTCCACAGCATTCAGGGCCTTCAGGTCTGCACTAATGCAGTCCTTCCAGCGTTTGCGTGGACCGCCAGGTGGACGGCGGGATGGGAGCAGACCGAACAACAGAATCTTCCGGATGCGCTCTGGTGGCATGCGAGCAACATGACCCAGCCACTCAAGTCGTCGCTGGCGAATCCGGACAGCAAGTGGGCGCTTGTCGCCCCACATTTCCAGCAACTGATCATTGCTGATCCGCTCTTGCCAGGCGTCTAACCTTGTTATGCCAAGAACGGTACGCAGACACTGCATGTAGAACGTGGAGAGCCTCCGTATGTCGGCTTGGAGGGGTACCCAGCACTCAGCTCCGTACAGCAGAATGGTGACAACGCATGCATTGAAGATACTCTTCTTGGTGCGGACGGACAGATGGTGGTTGTTGAAAACTGGCTTCCGCAGGGAGCCAAACGCA